CCTTCTATAGAGCAGTGTCTGCTGCACAGTTTCATCACATTAGGGGGAAGTGAGGCCAGAATAACAAACAAACAAGGGACATGCGCTGAACCTCATCTCCTCCACCCCTCCGATGACAAAGACACGTGCAGTACAAACCAAACTAGACCTAACGAAAGTCACATCTTTGCATAAGAAACAGAACAGCTCCGATTTCAAACATTTGGGAGGCTGAGGACACGACTGAGATGCTGTTTCTGTCAGTCGCCGGAGGAACCTTTTAAACAGTAGGATGTGAGGAAGAGCCAGGTGCTGGCAGATCCATTCATCATGCACACCAATGAGCCCTGCAGACGGACACGCAAAGATCCTCGTGAGCAGAGAGCGAGAAAACAAACGGGTGCACAAGAACGCAGGACTCAGCGGGGCTCTAACAGGGTGTTAATATACGGCTCAAAGAAAGCATTGCACAGCACTGCAAGATTAAATATTTGCTCTGAACCCACAAAGTGGTTTTCAGAAATGCAGGAGTGGTTTTATTTTACTGTTGCATCCTTTTAAAGCTTGTGACGAGTCTTTGGTGAATCTCAATCATGTGGTGAACTCCTCTATAAAGGTTTTTGTCTGCTCCTGCTTATCAGCCACACAGGTTTTAATGTATTTATAATATTTTATTATTTTTGCTTTAGAGTGCAAAGAGCAACATCAGTCTGTTGAACTCGACCAACAGGACTGTCAATGAAGGCAAGTTTTACATTTTAATGTAGCGCATGCAACGCTGAACACGTCTGTGCTGTTAATGTTAATGTTGAAGTTATGACAAACATTACAGATCAAGCTCCAAGACACGAATGTGTTTTACAAAGCAGTGGTGATGGTTCAGTGTGTGTGTAAATGTGTGTGTCTGCTGCAGGCGCCTCCATGCTGTGGACCGATGCAGAGGATGAAATCTCACTGGAGGTGGACGCTAACACCAAGTTCTCTGTTTGGGTTTCTTTCTGTGAAATTTACAACGAGAACATTCACGACCTCCTGGAAGTGGCGCCCGGTGGGGCCCTGAGGAGGACCGCACTGCGCCTCTCGCAGGATGTCAAGGGAAACACGTTTGTCAAAGGTCAAATCTGAAATTATAAAAGCAGAACTAAATGTCAGCTTTATCGTAAGTTTTCTTCTAAGAATATACGAGAGCCTTCCCAGTGACTCGTACGCTGTGTTTGTGTGTTTCCATCTAGATCTGCGCTGGGTTCAAGTCAACAGTGCCGAGGAGGCGTACACGGTGATGAAGTTGGGAAAGAAGAACCAGAGCTTCTCCTCCACTCGACTCAATCACCTGTCCAGCAGGAGGTGAGGACGACAGGCTGCAGCATTCAGACCCAGGCTGAGGCTGCGTCCACATGTACACGGGTGTTTTTATAAACGGTGGATGTCAACAAATCCCGTCACACGTGCAGTTTTGGAAATATGTCTCCATCTGCATGTAAACGAAGTCAAAGACTGTCAAGAACACGCCAAAGCAACAGGTGACCAAATAATCCTGACCGTGTAGAAATGTTGGCCAATCAGAAGTGTAGAAGCCTGGGAGGGGAAGCGTGAACAAAGATGGCGCATAGAAGCAGTCTGTCTAAGTACAGGCACAGTGACTGTGTGTGAAAACAGCAGCAGCAGCATTTTGTCTCTATCGTTGTAGAAATTCATCTCATGTAAACAATAACATGGCGCACAGCTTTGAATAAATCTGTTTCCCACACGTAAACGCAAAAACCACGTTTTAAAAAATCTCAGTTTTCAGTGATTTAAAACGGCGTTTACATGTGGACAAAAGGCCCAAACGCATGGAAAAAGCTGCGTTTTCAAAAACACCCGTGGACGTGTGGAAAGAACTCTGATTCGTTTGTGTGAACGCAGTGATCCCACTCAGGTGTGGACCAACCGCACTGAGACTCTTTGGAGTGGGCGCTCTAAGAATGTGAATGAATGTGTTATATATGGAGAACGTCCTGGCAGCCCAGTGCTCAGACTTTGGGTTTAGGTGTGGACGAGGAAACGTCAAAGGTGTGCGTCGTTTTTGATGCCACGCTTTACGTTACATTATTGTTTAAATGACATAAATTTCTGCAGTGGCAGATAGAGACAAAATACTGATGCTGCTGATCTGACCACCTGCAGTTTTACACGCTTACATACACACACAGTTACTGTCCCTCCATTGAGAAAAGCAGAGGTGTCAGATTCTACGTTCAACACAGACACACTCACGACCAGAGACGGGCAGTAACGCGTTACTGTAATCCGATTACTTTTTTCAAGTAACGAGTAAAGTAAGGGATTACTATTGCAAAAACGGTAATTAGATTACCGTTACTTTCCCGTAGGAACGCTGCGTTACTGCGTTACTAAAACCGTGATTTTTTTGCGACAATGTCTCATGACAGTGACGTAAGCGAGTGCGACGTTCGTGACAACAGCTGTGTGCAGATCAACAATGGATCATATATCGAGTGCAGAGAGAGTATGAGCGTGCAGCGTTTAAAGCGTGGAAGTACTGACCTTACTTTGAGTTTGATTCCGTAAAAAGTGACAAAAACATTAGTGTCCGTTGTGCGTGGGAAGAAAACTTCTTTTTACAGCGAAAAAACCCCTAAACTTCCAAACAAGCACCGAGTAGCTACGACGTAATGGGAAACTCACAGAGAAACTCGCGGATTCTTCCACTGACCGCTGCACACCTGCACCAGGGTAACCCTCCGCCTACCCCACTCCTGCTTTACAGGTGAAAATAGAGCAACAGGACCGCTAGTCTTTGACGTTATTTATTTTCTGCTGTGTTTTACTTGCATCTATTTGAAAGACTGAGTGTAAACACAACAAAAAAATTATTTAATGTGCAGAAAATAGGTTTAAATATTAAACAAATTTATTTTATTTAATTTTTTTTGCTTTATCACCTATTCAGGTTGTAAATCGTGTTTTTAAAAAGTAACTAAGTAATTAATTACTTTTGAAAATAAGTAATCAGTAAAGTAACGGGATTACTTTTTGGGGGAAGTAATCAGTAATTAGTTACTGATTACTTTTTTCAAGTAACTTGACCAACACTGCTCACGACCCAAATCCCGACATCGGTTTTGAATAAATTAATTTTTTAAATTAAATTTATGTGTGCTGTAAGCATTTTATTCATTTTTAAGATGTGAGTCTACACCAACCAAAATACTGTCTTTAGTTATTAACATTTGAAATGATGAAGGCACTTGAAAAGTAACACAAAGTTATCTGCCTGTTCAGAAAAAGGTTTTGTGAGGGTACAAAACTCTGTTTACTGTTTCCCTCCAGGCTTCTGATTGGCCAGCATTTCGTTTTTAGCGTTTACATGTGGACGGAGATTTTTTTTTTTCAAAACTGCACATGTGGATGTTTGTTTTTTGTTTTGTTTTTTTTTAAAGAAAATGGAAAATCAATTCAAAAATCCCCGTGCACGTGTGGATGTAGCCTAAAGGCTTCATCAGTGGTGAACAGTTGAGTCATTTAAGGAGGCAGCACTAATACTTTAGTCTCTCTGTCTGACATCATTTCAGCCCTTTGACCAACAAGGTTTTTCAAAAGTGACAGAACTGAATGCAAAGTTAAAATAAGTATTAAGGAATCATCAGTTTTGTCCAGTGAACTTGTATTTGTAGTGTTTTCCTGCATGCAACATGCACTGAACGTTGCTCGGTGTTTGCAGCAGTGAATTTCCACAGACTCTGCACACTGAACTCCACGTTTGTTTCACTTCAGACTTTTAAACAGATCAATCAGGTTCTGACATCATTAAACATGACAAAGTCAGTCATAGCGGTCAGTATCAGGCGATATAGACTAGTGAGAAGAGATTTTACAGACCTCACTACAATTATGTATTTAATATGAGGCAACGCCTGCTCTGGCCGCCACCCCATGAACTGCACGAGTGGGCGGATCTGTTACCGAGGAATTGTTCTGCTTTTTTCTTTTTTCATTGAAATGTGTGCTGTGATTCTCCTTCGTGCAGCCACAGCGTTTTCTCCATTCGGATTTTGAGGATTGAGGACGTCGGGACACCGAGGGTCCAAACTGTCAGCGAGTGAGTAAAACCAGTGTTTGAGCACATAAACGAGTGTTTGATGTGTTCTCAGATAGTCAAAAATAACTGTGTGAGGTGGGATTTAAGCGTCTTCGTCAAATCTATATCATATGTATGTTGTAACAACAAATCCTTCTGGGAAGGGTGAGCAGTAAGCTGATATACACTTTCCTAAAAATGTAACTGCGTGTCAGTACTGTCATTTCCTCCAGTGCATCTGTGGTTACTACATATGTCACTGTTTTTTGCAAAAGGCTGGCATAGAAAGAATCAACTGGAAGACAGAAACCCAGCAGAAATTGGCTGCTAGCATAGACTGTGTTGTTTGTGTCTTCAGGTTGTGTCTGTGCGACCTGGCTGGCTCTGAGCGTTGTGCGAAGACTCACAACAAAGGAGAGCGTCTGAAAGAAGCAGGAAACATCAACACGTCGCTGCTCATTCTGGGGAAATGCATCAATGCTCTGAGACACAATCAGCAGGCCAAGTGAGAGTTTTCTCCATCCTTCGTTCCCTCTCTGTCTTTGGTTGATGTTGAGTTTTATTTATATCATAAATCACAACACCTATCACCACGCTTTATGTCACGGGCTAAATATCCCTACAATGTTAGAGGCGGAACCCCAACAATCATGTGAGGGA